CCCCCCAAAAAAATTGTTCTTCTCGATCCGCTTCTCTGTGGGTTTAGAGTCCTTCCCGGCCACAGATTTGCCTTCGCCGCTTAGAAGCAGCGTTCCCTCTAAGCTGAGTCAGTGTGATCTGGCTCACAGTTTTCTAGCCTCCGGCTCGCACATTTGTTTTGTCTGGGCTCAGGAAGGAGGGCTCCAGAGCAAATTGATTGATGCAGCAGCCAGTGTTCCCTCTAAGCTGAGTTCGTGTGAGCTATCCCCCCCCCCCCCCCCCCCCAAAAAAATTGTTCTTCTCGATCCACTTCTCTGTGGGTTTAGAGTCCTTCCCGGCCACAGATTTGCCTTCGCCGCTTAGAAGCAGCGTTCCCTCTAAGCTGAGTCAGTGTGATCTGGCTCACAGTTTTCTAGCCTCCGGCTCGCACATTTGTTTTGTCTGGGCTCAGGAAGGAGGGCTCCAGAGCAAATTGATTGATGCAGCAGCCAGTGTTCCCTCTAAGCTGAGTTCGTGTGAGCTGGCTCACAGTTTTCTAGCCTCCGGCTCACACATTTTTTTGTCTTCGCTCAGGAAGGAGGGCTGCAGAGCAAACTAATGTATGCAGCAGCCAGTGTTCCCCCTAAGCTGAGTTAGTGTGAGCTAATTCACAGTTTTCTAGCCTCCGGCTCACACATTTTTTTTGTCTCGGCTCAGGAAGGAGGGCTCCAGAGCAAACCGAGTTATGCAGCAGCCAAATCGCTCGCTCACAACGTCAATGTCAGCGACTCACCAAGTAGAATTTTGGCTCAGTAGACTCCGCAGCTTAGAGGGACCCTTGCTTAGAAGTTGAAGTAAAATTTGTCGGATGCTAGGAAGAGGGGCATTCTGGGATTTGGGCCGCGACCTTTGGTCTCCGTCCCAGAAGTTCAGGGTGGGGGGGCTGGGAGGACGGACCCCTGGTCGTCGTCCTAAGATTGGGCCGGCATCTTCTTCAAAGACTGTGGTGGGGAGCAGCTTTGACTTATCCGTTTGGCGGGGCTTGGGGCTCACAATACTTTTAAAATGAAAATGTTTTTATTCCTGTTAAAATCAGAAGGGGGAAAAATGAATTTTTGAGGTCATAGGGTCATAGAAACACGGAAGGGGCCACAGAGGGCATCTAGTCCAGCCCCCCGCTCAATGCAGGATCAGCCTAGAGCATCCCTGAGAAGGGTTTCTCCAGCCGCTGCTAGAAGACAGCCAGGGAGGGGGAGCTCACCACCCTCCCCAGGCAGCCGATTCCACCGTTGCACGACAAAAATGTTTTCCCTGAGATCCAACCGGGACCTTCCCGCCCTTAATTTAAACCCATTCTTACGAGACCTGGCCTCTGCTGCCAACCGGAACAGCTCCCTGACCAGGCAGGAGGTGATGTGAAAGACCTCCACCTGAGGCCATGGAGAGGTGTCAAGAGGGGCCTTGGCTCAGTGGCAGAGCCTCTGCTTGGCATGCAGAAGGTCCCAGGTTCAATCCCCGGCACCTCCAGTTAAAAAGGACCAGGCAGGAGGTGATGTGAAAGACCTCCACCTGAGGCCATGGAGAGGTGTCAAGAGGGGCCGTGGCTCAGTGGCAGAGCCTCTGCTTGGCATGCAGAAGGTCCCAGGTTCAATCCCCGGCACCTCCAGTTAAAAAGGACCAGGCAGG